GGGTTATTCTAATACTACCACTAACGGTTACTGCATTAAATGGTTTTTCATTTAAGGTGGGGTTATTGACGTGTTTGGGTTGAATATAGCTTTTGTTTGAACCTGTATCTATTAATACATTTAGAATTTTCCCACTCCTCAGTTTACATTCGATGTAAGGCAATGAGGAGTTTTTTATACTAAAAAATGAAGATCACTATATTGTTCTGGATTTGCATTTACGTTATCGTCACCTGGTTCTTGCAAGTATTCTTCAAAACCCTGTTCGAAGTTGTTTTCATCTCGTAGTCTGTTTTTAATTGTTCGTATTCTGCCATCGTAGCGTAATTTTCGGCGTCAGCTAAGGTGTTGGTTTCTTTTTCATTTGTTTGGACGTTGAACTGTCTCTGTTTCTTTTCTGCATAATTCTGCGTTGTTGGGGGGGCCTTTTCCCTACTTCGAACTGCGGACGATTCATGTAATTTACATTCGTTGATATAGTGACCCCATTGCTTCGCAATGGCCTCCCCGTGGTGTTCCCTGGGTACCAATTAACTATATTAAATATATATAAGCTATATATAGCTATATTTTTTATATATTAAATTGGTAGCTGATTCGAGCGGCGCTTACGTATTAAATATATAGTATAGGTTAAACACATAAATTATAAGCTTACATATATACTGACTGAGTACGGGTATAAGTAGAGTCGCGTCCCCAGAAGCGACTCACACGTTCCTTCTCGTTATTTTTATTATTTGTTTATTGGTATCAATGACTGCTTCTAATTCTCTTAGTTAGTCATTTCCTAGTATGGCGTCAAATGATCTTAAAGTTGGTAAAAGGAAAAATTGTACATTAGTACCTGGTATATTAAAAAGATTGGCCATTTTGTAGTGGGTTATTCTAATACTACCACTAACGGTTACTGCATTAAATGGTTTTTCATTTAAGGTGGGGTTATTGACGTGTTTGGGTTGAATATAGCTTTTGTTTGAACCTGTATCTATTAATACATTTAGAATTTCCCACTCCTCAGTTTACATTCGATGTAAGGCAATGAGGAGTTTTTTATACTAAAAATGAAGATCACTATATTGTTCTGGATTTGCATTTACGTTATCGTCACCTGGTTCTTGCAAGTATTCTTCAAAACCCTGTTCGAAGTTGTTTTCATTCTCGTAGTCTGTTTTTAATTGTTCGTATTCTGCCATCGTAGCGTAATTTTCGGCGTCAGCTAAGGTGTTGGTTTCTTTTTCATTTGTTTGGACGTTGAACTGTCTCTGTTTCTGCATAATTCTGCGCTGCACCAAATTTGATCTTGGTGCTGGGATCGGTTTTTGATTTGATCCTCTAAATCCTGAAATTGGGGTTTTGTTATTAGCATGAACAGCGCGGAAATTTTGATTTTCTAGTTTAAGACACAGGTGTAGTGCCGATGGGAGGTCTCCCTTACTGGTTCCCCCTTCTTAAAAGTTGGGGGGGATTTCTTCTTAACCTCTTTTTTTAATATCTTTTGCTTTTTTTCTTTTTTTTTTTTTTTTTTTTTTTTTTCTTCTTTTTTTTTTTTCTTCCTCCCCTTTTTTTTTTTTTTTTTTTTTTTTTTTTTTTTTTATCTTTTTAATTTTTTTCTCCTTTTTTTTTCCTTTTTTTTTTTTTTTTTTTTTTTTTTTTTTTTTTCTCTTTTTTTTTTTTCCCTTTTTTTTTTTTTTGGTCCCCCCTTACCTCCTTCCCTTTTTTTTCCTTCTTTTTCCCCTATCCCAATACCCTTTTCTTTTCCCCCCCATTTTTTCCCTTTTTCTTTTAACTATCCCCCAACCTTTTTCTTTTTCCTTTTTCTCCTCCCTCCTTCCTTTTTCTTTTTTTCTTTTTTTTCCTTTTCCCTTTCTTTTTTTTTTCCCTTTTTCCCTTCTTTTTTCCTCTCTCCTTTCTTTTTCTTTTGTTTTTTTTTTTCAAATTCCTCTTAAGAGCTAGATTAATAACTTGGTCAGCAACGTTGAGAAAGTCAGCGTTTGGATTGATTATATTTTTAATTAGTCCTGGTAACGACTGTTCTAGTATTGTAGTCACTAAGGTAGTTACCATCTGCGTAACTTCTTCCCTATTGTTATTTTGTCTATTTGGATCATGGGCCAGAACGGCTGGTCTGATTAAGTTGTCGGGGTTTGCCATTGTAAAATGTTTTAATATTATTTAATGAGATATGAATACTCGAAATTTTTTTCTTTCTTGTCTTATGTTTAAATTGTACACTTTTGTGTTTCTTTTCCTGTCTGGCAGATGTTTTCTTAGAATTTTCGTATTCACTTTGTTTTCTTATCACCTTACTTACCTTAACATCGTTGAGATGTGGCTCCTCCAACGGGTGATCCGGAATTGGTCCTTTTTGGATGCTATAAACCTACTCAGGTTCCTGAGATTCACTCCTTGTTGTTGGCTTTCCTGAGTACGGAACTCTTTCAGGAATGGTAGTCCACCAATGGGCTATACCGGGCAATATAACGAAGTATTGTTGCGAGTTGAACCGGTATTTTGCGTTTCGAGACCGACGGCTGCAAGTTGTTGCAGTTTTCGCGAACGTACTAAACTTTTTGTTGCATTGTTCACTAGTCAGGTCCCTGTTCGGGCGCCAGTTAATTTTGTCCTTTTAACAAAAGGAAAAATTCTTTTTATTTGAGCAAATGTAGTTATTTATTCGAATCAAATTTATCAACTGACTTAAGCTAGTGTACAAAATCTTAACGTAACCTATTATTCGACGCGGCGGAATGTTGGCAGCGGTAGAACGGTTAGCAGCGGCAGTGGGGTTTCGGGAGAACCGACTCTGTGCAGACGCACTGTCAGCATTGTCGCTGTGTCAACGATGGGGTGGGGCGATGATGATCCGAAATGAGCGGTTCTTGAGAAGTTCACCTCTCGGCGCATGTTCGGGCAGGAAATGGAATTTTACTTTTTGATATTTTTCTTGCGCAATGTTATTGCAAGTGGCAGGGCAACAAACTATTGTGCAAGATTTCTTTTGATTTATGGTTTGTGTGTCGTTGAACTCTTTTGGAGTTAACTTGTACGCTTCTATTGTATGCACTTCCCGACGTGGACCAATATTTTCTGTCCGGCTCTATACGTGACTAGAACTCTTCAGAACGAGCAAACCTCGATCCACGACCTGAGACCCACTCTCCCCAATTCCAACCCGAAGTGCCCCTCGCCTTGCTGGTTCTTTTGGTGGCCGAACTCCCGCTCGCTGCTCTTGAGCCCAACCGTTCTCTCTCTCCCCAATTTGAGATACATTTTGGGTACTGGTCCTGTAGCCTGCTTTCGGGTGGAAGCTTAATACGTTCGACGCTACAAGCCACTTAAAATATTAGGAGTGCAAGGGCTCTGGCATGGGCATGGGCACAGGCACAGACACGGGCTCGGAGTAATTGCCAAGACGTTCGACAGAAATTAAATGTCTTTCAAATGAAAGGAAAATCATTGCCAGCTGCTTCGGAAATGGATACCGCAATAAATATATCTAGGAGGCTGAGGGGCTGCTCTTGTGACTGAGATTGGTCCTTCCTTTTCAGTCAGTTTCATTTAATCAGAGTACTCAGAACGACACAAGCCTCGAATTGAAGTAGCTGTCTAGAAGTAGCTGCAACAGAGAATCAATTTACATATGCGTGCAGAGCACACTGTTGATTGTGCTGGGACAGGGACAAAGTAGACTTCGCACCTCAGCAGACAAAACGCAGATGGGTGACACAGAGAGCGCTGGTTAAGCTTGGTTCGTACTCATTCCACGCAACTGATTTGATTCGAAATTTTTAATATTTATTAGCTACCTCTACGGCTCTTTGTTTGACCCTTACCAACAAAAGGAATCAGCATGCGGCCGTTATATCTCGCTGACTCCCTATTCGGATAACACGCTATACCCAATAACTCGAATAAAGGATTTGGTCGTGCAACATGCGTGAAGACCAGACCCATTTGCTGCATCGCCTCTACCGGATTTTCCGGCTCGGTTTTCTTCGCCATCTCGCAGTGCAAGTGCAGCACGCGATCGTTGAAACGCTGCTCGATCTTTTTCAGCGTAAATGAAGACTTCGGCTGCATGGTCGCTGCCAAGTCGCGCACAGCTCCCATCGCACTGGCAAATACCTCCAAGCTTTCCACGGGTGGCGGCAGCTGTGCCCAGTACAGATCCTGCACCAGTTCGATGTGTTCGCGAAAGGACTCCCTGCTCTCCCACATTTGCAGCAGACTGGCCCTGAAGCGTTGCACATCCTCCGCGTCGCACTGCAGCAGCTCCACAAATCGGCGCGTCCGCTCCGGCAGCAGCAGCAGACGCTGCTCCACATCCACACGGTCACATTGAGTGTAACACTCTGAGGTCTCGAGCTCGGTCTGCACCGCCTGGACGCAAGTGGATATTGACTCCGTTTGGACAATGGACACGTAGTCGGCCGTGGCAGTTGGCGCTGCCTCCAAACTCGCATGCTGCGAACGGAAGGAAAGCATCGATGTATCCGAGTGGACGGTGTGAAGGGAAAACATCGAGTAGAAGCTGTTGCTCGACAGACTCCGCTGCAGCGCACGGCGGCGCACTCGGCCGTGAAAGATGCGGCTCCAGATGAACCGTTTGAGCATCTTCCGCTTGCGTCGCTTCGAAAAGAGTTCCTGTTTATGCTCCATCTCTGGCTGCTCCATGTCCTCAGGATTCTTGGCTGCGAGTATTTGGTCCAGCTGCTTCACGCTGCATCTATCACCTGGAACGAAAAGAAACGAGAAGGAACGTGTAGGTTCCTTTTGGGGGGCCCCCCTTTTTTTTTTCCCCTTCTCCTTTTTTTTTTTTTTTTTTTTTTTTTTTTTTTTTTTTTTTAAAAAAAAAAAAAAATAATTTTTTTTTTTTTTTTCCTAAAAACATGTGTGTGGGAGTATCGGCCTCGCTCTGCCGCTGTTCCTTGGAGGGAAAGGAAAAGAAAAAACTATAAGTCTCATCCACATGTGGCACTCGTCTCCTGTTTACCCACCTCAACGTCGCACAGGACACAGCCCAGTTGCAGGCTTGGCCGGACTGTCGTAGAGCTCGTGGGTGAGACTAAAGCCCTCCGGCAAGACTCCAATTTCACGCTCCATGCGGTGGCACAGCTCATCCTTGGTGCGCAGCTCATCCTCCAGGCAGTGGGCACGCTCCTCGGACTCCTTCAATTGCGACTCCATCTGCCGGATCTTGTTCTCCAACGTGCCCACCTCCTCTTTGAGCTCCCCATTGGTGACTTCGATGTGCATGAAGCTCTTGCGCAGATCGTACATTTGGCTGCGCAGAGCTTCGGCCTCCTGCTTCAGCGCCTCCTCGGTTCTCGCCTGCAGCTTCTTGGCGAAACTGAGGTCATCGATCAGCGCCTGGCAGCGTCGCTTCTCGTTCTCCAGGGCCACGGCCATCTGTTGCTCCGCCTCCAGCTGCTCCTGGGGCTGGAGCAGATCGTTATACTCTTTGGTCAGTCGCATCAGGCAGGTCTTCAGGCCCAGTTCGGTCTCCTCCAGCTGCTGGATCTTCTACGCTGCCGCACGCGAATCCTCGCGCAGGCAGTCCTGCAGCTGGGCAATATTCCGCTTGAGGGACATCTCCTTGGCCAGATACGCCTCCTCGCGCTCCTTGTGCTCCTTCTCCTGTTCGGCCCAGTGCGGGTCGGCCGACTTCATGTCCTCGTAGTGGCGTGCATCGAGATCCTTTAGCTGGCTGCGCAGCACCTTGACCTTTTCCCGCAGGAAGCTGACATCCCGCGCGTCACAGCTGTGCCGTGGACTCTCGCCCTGTTTGAGTGTGTCCTCGGGCTTGGCATCGGCATCAGCACATTGTCCGGAGTAGAGGCGGGCACTGGGACTAGCGGTGGATATGTCGTTGCCCATTTTGGCCAGAGCCAACAGGCGACACATCAACAGCAGTGGCAGAGATCGACGCAGTGCCTCCAATTGTCGCTTCGTTCGCTGCCGCTCCTCGTGCAGATGCTCCAATTGCGTCTCCGCCGCACCCAAATCCTCTCTCAGTATCGGCACTCGGCGTGGCAGTCCTTGTACTTGGCCCCCAATGCGTCCTTGCTGAACTCTAGCTCCTCGTTCCGCTGCCGTGTGATCTCCAGTTCCACCTCGTTGCGCTGCAAATGCAACCGCGTGTCGTTCTCCGCCTCCTCGAACTCACACTTGGCCACCTCCAACAGGGCGTTCTCTCGCGCCTCCTTCTCCAGCAGCACCTCTCTCTCACAATCCGCTGGTGGCTCTGTGTATGCCGCAGACGCTGATCTGCTTTGGTCTGTCTAAAAACAGAATACCAAAAAATGTAATTTAATTTTTTGTGTATTTTTTTTTTTTTGTGATTTCAACGCCTATTGGCGTTAGTGGTTGGTCTGTTGTAGCAGCGACCAGAAACGATGTATCGATATGTGCGAGACACTATCGATTATACTGCAACTTTCTAGTATTCATAGAGATGAGTAATTGGCAACGTGATCGAATTTGAATTTGTATTTTTCTCAAAGAGAGTAATTGGCCAAAAGAAAACTTCCAAGCCAAGAAACTAAGTTGATATGTTATATACACAATTACATTCGATGTGTTTAAACGACGCGAGATTAAAAGTCTAATTTAGCTTCTCTTACAAATTTCGCGAGTTCCCTCATATGTAGAAGGATATTTGCTTTAAACAAATCGTGCGTAGAGTTGTAATACTTAAATATTTTAAATTTACGCCTTAGGGGCATGAGTCTTGTGCAGTTGAAAATCAGGTGATTTGCAGATTCAGTTACGTTACATGTTGGACATAGGTCACAACTAACTATTTTGCATTTTTTCAAAAAAACGTTGTCATACGTATGATTTATCATGAGTCGATTCAGGAGTCTCATATCCTGAGCGTTCCATTTAACCTTCTTGTGCCAGGGTTCCCCTGGAACATTTGGAAATAAATCAAAGAAAAAACCACCAGACAATGAGGAAGCCTCCTTGTAGTAGTCATTCCATAAGGCGAAAACTCTTTTCTTGACCTCTCGACATGCTTCACCTAACGTATAGTTCAGCCTAACAAACACCCCATTTGAGATGGCAGATTTTGCAGCTTCATCCGCTTGTTCGTTTATTGGGATACCCATATGACCTGGCATCCAGTAGATGTCTACAGAGATTAATTCTGGCCATACCAGTAAGTTGTGAATATTTGCCACTGGATAGGCATCTGATTCTGCATTTTTTAACATATATATAGCTGCTAAACTATCCGTAAATATAGCTACCTTAGTTAGTCTTAATCGCTTGGCAATGAGACAGGTCATGTTAATTGTAAATAATTCAGCCATAGCAGACGAAATTTTTATCTCTGATTTAAATCTATAAGTCTTTTTTCCGTTTACATCGATAATACCCATACCCACTTTACTATCACATATTGAGGCATCACTTGCAAAGATATGGTACTTTGTTTCCTTGAGATTGTGGAGAATTTCATTATACATAACAAGAATTTGTTCTTTAGGTACATTTAGTTTGTTTATATTAAAAGGTTTACTATGTAGATGCAGTCTTTTATTTGCAGTGAAAGTCACTGCTGGTTTGGTCATTTCAAAAATATCCCTAAACTTGTTTGCTACTATCGTGTAAGACGAATTTACTGATTGAGAGCAGGTGTAACTATTGTAAAGATCGTAGTTTTGAGTCTTTAATCTCAAAAGCTCTTTGGCAGTTAAAAACATTGCTCTGAAGTTTGGGGGCATTTCACCCGCCAACGCAAAAATCACATGCTTTGGAGTATCTGGTGTTACCCCTAAGCATCGACGAAGCGCAGCGGCTTGTCTCGAAAAAAGTTTCCAAAGTTACCTTTATTTAGGTTTGCCATGGTGGTCGACGCATATTCAGCTTTTGATCTAATGTGTGCTTTGTATATATTTGTGGCAACTTGAGGTCTTAGGCCACTCTTAATATTGGTGGCCATTTGCAACAGTTTCATGCCAACCCCAGATTCTTTCCTTATTTTTTCTACATGTTTCTTGTCAGACAAACTCGATGTGATTATTCTACCCAGAAACTTTATTTCCCTGACTTCAGGAATACTTTGCAGATTCATAACGATATTTAATTTCGTTTTTTTGAATGGTGTCATAGCCATAACCGAACACTTAGTTGGATTCAGGTTGAGTCCCAGATCCTCACAAAGGAGCTGAAAACTTTCGATCTTGCCTTGTAAATTTGTTGCAGCCTCACAAAAAGTGGGTTTGGCTGACAAGATTATGAAATCATCAGCAAATTGAAAAATCTTGGTGTCGTTGTCCTCAATTTGATGTAACCGAAAGGTATACAGATTAAAAAGAACTGGCGACAGACAGCTTCCCTGTGGCAGACCATTTGTAACCTTCTCAGTCTCCGAACCTAAGTGTAAAAACCTTACTGACAAGAAATTTAGAATCCATAGTATAATTTGGTTAGGAACTTTTATCCACAACATGATTTTTTTTAAAAATGCCAAATTTACACAGTTATACGCATTTTCTATGTCAAGGCAAGCAACTACTATTTTCTTATTTTGCCGTTTGAGGCAATGAATGGTTGACAAAAGATCGTTAATACACATGGAAGCACTTTTCTTTTTCCTATAAGCATAACACCTAAAGGGCAGTAACTTGTTCTTTTCCACAAACTCAGACAATCTATTTTTAACCATGCCGTTTACAGATTTCGCAAGAACTGAGATTAGCGATATTGGTCTGAAGTTTTTGATGTCATCTAGTGGTTTACCACATTTTGGAATTGGACAAATCTTAATGCTTCGCCACGCATTTGGAAATTGGCAGCTATCATATAACTCATTAAAACAAGACAATAGTTTTTGTATTACCTCTTCCGAAAGAGATGCTAGCATTTCATATGTGATCCCATCAATGCCACCAGCCGTTGATCTTTTATTTCTAATAACCTCACTTAATTCCTTCATAGAAAATGTTTCTGTACTCTGCGAGTTAGCCATGTTATTAGGAACAGTTGCAGTTAACTCTGTTTGTGGAATTTGACTGCTCAGAAAGTCTAGATATTCCTTGTTATTGGATGGAGACCACTCTTGCATCTGAGGTTTCCCTAGACCTTTAAGATTCCTCAAAAATTGCCAAGATTTCCTAGACGAAGGACTCTGATTAATCTCTTCAATTTTATCCTGATAAGAGTTTCTCTTTGCTTTTTTCACAGCATTTTTCCATTTTAGTCGAGCTTGGCTGGCCGCTTCAAAGTTTTCTGCATTTGGATATTTGATAGCTTTAGCTTGCGTAGACTTAAAAATTCTATTTAAAAGTGTAAGTTCGTCAGTCCACCAGAACTTTGGAGACCTTTTCTCTAATATGTGAGTGCATGACCTAATTTCATTTTTCACCTTGTTTGTTATATCATTAATGTTCTGAAACTCTCTAATGTTGTTCAGCTTTGAAAGTAACTTTACTTTAGACAGAAAGAACTTTGGTTTTATTTTGATATTCTGGATTGTAATTGATATAGGAAAATGATGGCTGCCACCAATCCTTAGCGGACGGATATGCCAGTCAAAAAGCAAATCAGAGTTGGTAAAAGTCAAATCCAAAACTGAACCCGACATTAGATTTAGAGACTGTTTAAAGGTTAAGCTCCCATCATTCAACCACTTGAAACCAGCATTTAAGGAAACATCTTCTATGAAACGACCTTTGGAATTGGTCATACTATCACCGAATACACTATTACGAGCATTAAAATCTCCACATATGAATACGTCTTGAAGATTTTCCATGCTATCAAAAAGTCTTTTAATGTCTGTTTTAAAATCATCTAGAGGTACATTTGGCTCACAATAGGCTGAAGCTATTGTGAGATTTCGGGATAAATTGGTTGTTTGTATAATTGATATGTCAGATGTAGCAATGAAAGGAATTTTTTTGAAAAGAATTTTATTTTTTACTAGTACCGAAGTACCTCCATAATTGTCAGCTCTAAGTTTTTCAGCAGCTTTAAAATTTAAAATGTTTCTAAAAGTAGGATCATCTCCATGGGAGAAGATCTCAGAAAGACACGCAAAATCAAAATCTTCATTATTAAGGAGAAACTCTAGGTCATTTTTATTTGCTTTGAGCGATTGAATGTTGTATTGAAATATTTTAACTGACATGTTTATTGTGTTTTTAAAGTCTGGCTCTGATTCAAACTTTTCTCCAAAAACATTCTACTAGATTTGCCTGTTCTTATAAATTTTTCTTTTAAATCCTGAAAGGACTCACATAACACTTCATCCGAATCAATGAATGGTGTTATTAAGCGAAAAAGTTGAGCACAAATATCAGCAAACTTTATATCCTCCTTCACTGGGTCTTGGAATTTATGTTCTCAAGTGTCATGAGTATAAGATGGTAATGAAAAATGATGGAATTTTTGTTGTGGGGGAACTAAGGTGTTTTTTACTATTGAGGTGTATCGGTTACTATTTATGATATTGTTTACAAGCTCGTTTTTATCTATTGTCTCAGGCATTTTCGATGGTAGAGCAGGAAAAGCGTTTTCATTTTGGGATAATAAATCAAATCGATTATTTATCGAGTATTGGGATGTCACTTCTTTCCTCGACAATTTCTTTACACACATAACTTTCATTATTTTTTCCTCAAGTGCCCATTTTGGACATACGTTCTTATCACGAGCCGTGTGTTCATTACTGTTACATAAAATGCATTTGTACACCTGACAATTCGGAGATGTGCACTCCGGCGCACCACAACGTAGACAACGCTTCTTTGCTTTACACGTTCTTGAACCGTGTATCGAGTTTAAGTGCATGTATTAGTAATTTTAAAATAAACATATGGCATATCCCTGGGGCTTGGCTTGGCTGGGACTTGGCAGTTCGAGAACTGACATAGTGGCCCGAGCTTGCTACACACCTGTTCGGCTGACGGCATCATGGCATCAAGATCCAATTGCTGGACACATTGCAGCAACTGTTGCAAGCAGCGTTTGTCCCTGTCCGCCAAGAGTTTTTTTCTTTTTACGTTTTGAACTCTAGAACGGATCCACAGCTTAGAATTTTCCTAAGGAGCACGACCTGGCCTTTTGATCTGTTTAAATACGATCTAAGGATCTAAGCGGAAAGGGCGAAAGCTTCTCTTCGATGCGCTGCTCTGCACTGGCTCAAGCTTAGCTCAGCTGTTCTAAGTCCAAAGCTTGCACGCACCCACCCCAAACTTGTAAGATACCTATTTCAGGCTGGGATATGCTTCAGCCTGTCCAGGGTCCTCTACAAGAAATTTGTAGATGTTTGGGAACTAAAGGTTCGGGGCTGGCCTCGCTATGTCCGAAAGAGCAGTAGGCAAGGTGGGAAGAATGATGACGCGGTAGCTTTTGTGGTTTTTGTTTATTATTAATGCTTTTATTCGTTTTACTTGTTTACAATTTCGAGACCTGCTAGTCTCGCTGGTCGTGTTGTGAGCTGGTGGACTGCTTAGTATAGTGTCTTGCGTTTGTGACTGCCTAGTGCAGTGTCTTGGGTTTGGGCTGATGGACTGCCTAGTACAGCCTCTTGGGTTGGGGCTTATGGACTGCCTGCTTTTTTATACCCGTACTCAAAAAAGAGTTAAGGGGTATATTAGATTTGTGGTAAAAGTGGATGTGTGTAACGCAGAGAAGGAAAATTTTCCGACCCCATAAAGTATATATATTCTTGATCAGCATCAATAGCCGAGTCGATATAGCCATGTCTGTCTGTCCGTCCGTCCGTCCGTCCGTCTTGTTGAGCGCCTGGATCTCAGAGACTATTAGAGTTAGGTTAACCAAATTTGGTTTCCAGACTCATGTGATATCACACTGCTACAAGTGTATTTCAAAATTTCGCCCCGCCCCCTTCCGCCACCACAAAGAATGAAAATCTGTGGCAGGCACAATTTTAAAGATACGATAAAACTAAAACAGCAGTATCGTAGAGTATGCCCATATCTACCAGATTGCCAAATCTGAACTAGATCGGATCATAATTATATTATATTATATATATATATATATATATATACATATATTTATATATATTATATTATATGCTCAAAAATGTATATGCTGACTGAGTACGGGTATAAGTAGACTCGCGTCCCCAGAAGCGACTCACACGTTCCTTCTCGTTTTTTGTCTGGACGTTGATATGCTAGACTGCACCATCAAGTGGCCCATGCGACACCAAGCCGAACCCTGCAGCCCTCCTCCCGCCCAACCGACCGAGGGGCGCTGCCGCATGACGCGTGTTACCGTACCGATCGCGAGCATGCAGGAAAGATAGGTGTTAGACTAAAATTCGAGGTAAATAAGAGCTAAACACAACTCAAAGAGCTACCCATGCAAAGATAGCTAAGAAATATAACTAATTACGGGAAAAGTATGTTAGTATTAGTGATTTAAGAAGAGGAAGGGAATTAGTAGTTGATATTATGTGGTAGAGGGAATTGAAGTCCGAGCAAAGGACCCTAAATGGTTCGTGCAAGGAATCATTCGATCTACTAAGCGGAAGGAACAAAGGAATGAAGTTTCTAGTAGATCTAATAGGAATCGTAAAGTTTATCCGGCTCAACAAGTCAGGGCTATCTACGTCACCCTTGATCAGTGTAACGTCTAAACTTTTGTTGGCCTGAAATGCAACGATTGGGATTCGCCTTCTAGCCGCTGACATCTCAAGTCACTCAAAAGCTGGTTCGCGTGATGTTTCACAGAAAGAAACACCACCCCCTATTGTACCTCTCGGCCAACAGAGTCCCTCTGACTCGATACAACCCTTTAGAAGTCCCCTGTTACCGGATATAATGGCTACACTATCTTCTAAAAGCGGTTGCACTAGAGCAGACGAGCGAATGCAGGTGGTTTTGCTGCTGGGGAAGTGGTCGGGGGGGGACTCTCTGGCATCAGCTAGCGTATCAGCCTGGGGGGGGTTCTTGACACCTCCACTCAACACACCTACAGCACATATTATTAAGAGTCCCGTAAAGTTGGATGACCTTACACGCAGCACTAACATAACACAAGAAAAAGAGAAGAATTCTAATACATGGGGACTCAAACCTATCCGATTGCGATTACCGAGCTGTTATGGTATTGCTTCTTCCTCTATACCCACCCTACTAATGATCTTCCAATGGCAATGATATTCGGAAGATCCCTTTCCGATTACAACACCGTAGTTACCTCCTTTTTTAACCCATTCAGGAAAACCTAACACTCTGGCTTACTCCATTCTTAATATGTATTTATTTCAATGAAAACCCATGTTGATGAACGCATTGCAGCCGTTAAAGAATTTCTTCAATTTCTTTTTCTATTTTTGAACACTAAATTTTCTTACATTGTTTTGGTATTTTTGGTCGCGCTGCATCGCACTTTTGAGATTTTTTAGTGTTAAGACTAAAGCAGAACATGATGGACACTTTCGCTGCGTGAAAATAAAAACTATTAGTAATACAGTCCACTCAAAACCTTGGAAATAAATCATTTGTGTTCCATGAACATCGCAGTGGTTTATTAATCATCATATAGTTGGTCCTTCAACCGGGATAAGCTTATTGTTTAAAAATGGAAGACTTCAAGCTTGTGAAATCAGCAAGAAGCCGTGCGAAGGCAAGCATCCACGCGTTTGCTAACGGCGTCACAAGATCCACGTGCGGGATCAAACTTGGAATTGGAGCAAATAACCGTGTTATTGGAGAGGCTCAATACCGTTTGGAAGGAGTTTGAGACAAAATGGCCCTTTACGATGAGGAGGAGGGGTATGTTGATCCAGCCATCGACAACGAGACATACGAAGACAAGTACTTGCGTGCCAACGCGTTACTTCACTCGCTAAAACGCGCTTGCCTGCCAAGGGAGAACGAGGGAGGAAACAACGCCAGGGGCAACCATAGCGACAGTGAGAGCCCATCGGGATCACAAGCATCGGGATCAGGAAACGAAAACTTTGTTCGTTTTCTACAACAACAACAAGAGCTGAACGAGCAATTGGCGCAACAACAAACCACGTTTTTGAGCGCAAATTCGACAGCAAATGGAGTGCAAAGCGAATTGCCAAAAATACACATCAAGCAGTTCAATGGTGACTACAAGGAACGGCCTGCTTTCATGAACCTCTTCGAAAGTACGGTTCACAGCAATCAGCATTTGACAGCCATTCAAAAATTGCACTACTTGAAAACATATGTTATTGGAGAAGCAGCTGATTTGATACGACATATGCCAATAACAGAAGCAGCTTATACTGCTGCTTGGACTTGCCTCACGGAGCGTTACAACCGACCACGCCACATTATAAAACGAGAAGGAACGTGTGAGTCGTTTCTGGGGACACGACTCTACTTATACCCGTACTCAGTCAGTATATACAGCTTATGATTTTGTAGAATTTGGAAAAAAAAAAAAATTTTACATTTTACATTTTTTTGCTACATCTGCTATCTACATCTACATATACAATGTCTATTCTACATCTAACATGTAGATTGTACGTGTTCCATTTAGATTCTACATCTCCTCCGCTAGGGGTTGCTCGCGCACTGAACGCGGCAGAGTGTGCGAGCGAGAAAGAGAATCAGTAGCGTCAGCAGCGCTGGAGAAGGAGAGGGAACCAACAGAAAATTCATTTCTTCATTCTGGCTATAATTATGATCCGATCTGATTCAGATTCGGCAATCTGGTAGATATGGTTATTTTCTACGATACTGCGCTTTCAGTTTTATCGTATCTTTAAAATTGTGGCTGCCACAGATTTTCGTCCTTTTTGCGGGCGGAAGAGGGCGGGGCGAAATTTTGAAATACACTTGTAGCAGTGTGATATCACATGAGTCTGGAAAACAAATTTGGTTGCCCTAGCTCTTATAGTCTCTGAGATCCAGGCGTCAAACAAGACGGACAGACGGTCAGACGGACAGACGGACAGACAGACATGGCTCTATCGACTCGGCTATTGATGCTGATCAAGAATATATATACTTTATGGGGTCGGAAACGTTTCCTTCTCTGCGTTACACACATCCACTTTTACCACAAATCTAATATACCCCTTAACTCTTTTTTGAGTACGGGTATAAAAATACTCTGCTGGACACATTTGTGAATTTACCTTCGACATCCAGAGCAGATGTTTCAATTCTACGTAAGGTGACAGATGGAGCAACGGAGATTGTACGCGGCTTGGATGCAGCAGGGCAAACTAATAGGGACTGCTGGATTATACATTTCATTCTGGCCAAAATTGACGCTGAAACCCGACGCAAATGGATTGAAGGAAGTCGCGAGCTGGAATCGCCAACTGTAAACGATTTACTCAAGTTCTTAGACCGGCGCTGCGAGGAATTTGAGCTTATCAAAAGTGAGACTAACACAGACTTCAAGGTTGGTGCACAAAAAAACAAAGCCAAGCGATCGTCACACGCTATGGTATCGCTGGAAGAAGGTGCTTGTGTAAAATGTAACTCCAAGGAACACAAGATCTACATTTGTCCGCAGTTTGGGGACTTATCAGTCGAACAGAGACGAACATTCGTTAAAGCTAAGTCATTGTGCTTTAACTGTCTCAAGCTTGGGCATGTGTCACGAAAGTGTGAATCAAAATTCACATGCAAGTTTTGCCATACTCGTCACCATTCTCTACTACATATAGAAAATTCTACTTCGCAGGCTGCTGCAACAAGGGCGCATCCAAGAAATAACGAGCAGCGCATCGTTACGCTTCAGAATGTTTAAGTTCGTCTTTTCTGCAGATATAGTAAAAATGTATCGACAAATCTGGGTGGCTGCCAATCATTGCAGTTACCAGCGCATTGTATGGCGAGAAGATGAAAGCACGCCTATCAAGCACTATGAGCTCTCCACAGTAACATACGGCACGTCTAGCGCACCATTCTTGGCAGGGAGGGTCCTGGATCAGCTAGCTCACGACCATCAACACGAGTTTCCCACTGCAGCTAAAATCTTAAAGGAGGAGTTTTACATGGACGACGTACTCACGGGAGCATACACAGAGGAAGAGCTTATTTGCAAGCGAGATGAATTGATTCAGCTAATGGAACGTGCAGGCATGGAGCTTGGCAAATGGGTCTCCAATTCATCACGCATTTCTGTCGGAACTCTTACTACAACCAAAACTCAAGGCAAGGGACTCCATTCTACAGCAAAAGTGCTTGGCATTCACTGGGATCCAGGAAAAGATACTTTATCGTAAAACGTTTGCCTTTCATCGAATCCGGACAGCAGCAAACGACAAGTGCTGTCGGACGTGGCACGCATCTTTGATCCACTGGGCATTCTGTCGCCTGTGGTGGTGCAATTTAAAATTCTGTTTCAAGAATTGTGGTTACTCGATCTCAACTGGGATACGGAACTTCCTCTAAAAATTGCGGAGGGGTGGAAGAAATGCCGTAACGATCTAAATGTACTCCAGGAACTTCGTCTTCCACGATTTGTTGACAACAAGGAGGATCACATCGAACTGCATGGATTTTCAGATTCTTCCATCAAGGCATACGCCGCAGTCGTCTATAGCATATTGGTACAGGCAAATGGCACCGTATCTGTTTCACTCATCGCAGGAAAAACCAGAGTTGCTCCTCTGAAGCAGCAGTCACTACTGCGCCTCGAACTGTGTGGCGCTCTGTTGTTGAGCCGACTAATCGTATCTATCAAGGCTGCTCTACATCATAAGAACATTGACATACATGCATGGTGTGACTCAACTCTAGTTCTGGCTTGGCTTTCACAGCAGCCATCGAAGCTTAAAACATTTGTTGCAAACAGAACGTCAGAAATACTCGATGCTATACCACGCAATGCATGGCATCATGTAAATACAAAGGAAAATCCTGCTGACTGCGCCACGCGAACCATGCTCGCAGCAGAACTGCTCAATTTCGACCTGTGGTGGATGGGACCTTCATGGCTGCAAGATCCAGAAAAACTCGCGGTAAGGTTGAGCTCTACAAAATTCTGTTCTTCCCTTTCGGAAAACTATGGCAACGAAGAAGTGAAGACCACCGCATTGACAACTCAGGAAGACCACTCATTTTCACCGCTCGAAGCACTGGTGCAGCGCGTCTCGTCCTGGACAGAACTGGTTCGCATTGTAACTTACGTCTAGCGCTTCATCCAAGGGACCAGGACCCCTAAATCAGGCATGTTGGCAAGTAGCAAAATGCTGAAATTCGAGGAGATCCAGGCGGCTCGCATTCTTTGCCTACAAACTGCTCAGGAATGTTTTAAAGAGGATCGCAATCTGCTGCTGGAGAACAAGCCACTTCGGAGCCGCTCTCAGCTGCTCAAGCTCTCACCGATTGAATGTAAGAATGGCCTCCTACGAGTTGGTGGACGGCTGAGCAATTCTCAATTACCAGCTGATGTCAAACACCCTATACTTCTTCCGAAATCGCACCGCATCACAATACTGATTTTGGAACATGAACATGCATCAAACCTTTACCCAGGCGTCTCGGCTCTCTTTGTTATTATGAGTCAAAAATATTGGATTTTTGGTGCGCGTAATCTTATAAGAAATCTGGTCCACAACTGCATAAGATGTTTTCGCCAACGTAATCACACAGAGCACCAATTCATGGCCGATTTACCAGGCATTCGTATCACCGAAGCTCTGCCCTTCCAGCACTCAGGCTGTGACTATGCTGGACCATTTATACTAGGGAAAGGAGAGGACGCAATCCACGAAAAACGAAGGGCTACATATGTTTGTTTGTGTGCCTTGTAACATCAGCCATACACCAGGAATTGGCCTCCGACCTGAGCACAGACACCTTCCTGGCCTATCTTCGTCGATTTATGTCCCTCAGGGGAAAATGCTCCCAGATCTTCAGCGATAACGGAACAAATTTTGTTGGTGCCAAACGGGCGCTAGATGAGATGCAGCAACTTCTATCTTCGCAGGAGCATCAACACACCGTAGCCCAACCGCTGGCCAACGATGGAATTAAATGGAGTTTCATACCGCCACATTCGCCACACTGGGGAGGAAAGAGGAAGTCATCCGTGCGTTCCGTCAAACTGCACCTTCGTCGCGTTGTAGGAAAGACGACGTTAACCTTCGAACAAATGCAGACTCTAATTGTTCAGATTAGTGCGGTTGTGAACTCTCGACCGTTATGCTATACACCAGACACAGACCTCACATACTTGTCTCCAGCCCACTTTCTAATTGGTCGCCCATTCACAACCATTCCGGAAGGCGATCTATCTCATTTGCCAATCAATCGCTTGGACTATTGGCAGCACTTGCAAGCAATGTACCAAGGATTTTGGAAGCGCTGGCATCAAGAATATTTAACATCCTTGCAGCAACGTCACAAGTGGAACAACAAGGAACGCAACATCTCAGTTGACAAAAATAAAAACTATTAGTAATACAGTCCACTCAAAACCTTATAATTAAATCATTTGTGTTCCATGAACATCGCAGTGGTTTATTCATCATCAACCCATTTTTCCATAACTTTATCCTCCCTCTTAAACATAAGTGTTATTCATATGCACATGATAGTAATCTACCTAAGTATAAGAATAGAAAGAACGATCAAAACAAAACGAAATGAAATGCTGGCTTCTGCTTGTGCAGGTCATAATTATAATATTCTTCCTCATACGAATATGCGAACAAAACAAACTTGTATAACGTTATTGCATCGTAGTGCTCTGCTATTTCACTGGCTTTCTTCTTCACAGTTTATTTCTTGCCAATAATTTTGTTTTCTTTTTCACTTATTTCCTTAATTTTTTACTTTACTTACGGATTTCGCAATATTTTGGTGTGGTATAACATACAAATATACAATTTACATACTCTACATGTGTCTGTCGACACTTCACTCACCCTTCATGTCCGGCGAAGGCCTTCGTCGTTGCGACGGGGTTTAGTTTTCTCCTGTTTTACTAATAAAATATAATTGTTATTTATATGTTTTACCACTATTTCTACCCACTTTATCAACTTAGGCGTTTGCAGTTTAGCTTGTTCTGTTCGCTTGCATTTTCTTTCCGTTTCTGTATTCTTTCGCTTTTCGTTTTCTGCTTCGGTTTCGTTACGTTAAATTTTTTTTTTTTTAGCTGTACAATAGATCAGACACTCAAAGAGAAGAGCAAAACCAAAAAGAGACAGAACAGGCTTCCGTGCGCCAAGTCGACTGCTGAATACTCTGACACGATTTCAAATTCCGAATAGCGAAATCTGCACTACGTAATGTAGCTTGGCTGGCTGCTGCAACTGCTCCAAGGGTGTGAAATTAATACTCTCTTAGACGATTGTGCTGAAGTTGTGGTGTAGTACGAAACTGGAGTTTAGGCCGCTACTGCTGACGCCTTGACAGAAATTCGCCGTTATCTCCCGAGGTTCATTGACCTGTTGTTTCGCCTTCTCTGCTTTCTGCACACTCAAACCAGGGGACTCTCGCGTCGAAGATGCTAGCGCTTCTTTTCTCGGGGTATACTCCAACCCTCGAGACGCGAGTGCCTAGGCTAGGGAAATTGCACATTGTAACTGCCTAGTTTTTCCAACAAATTAACACTCACCATAAAAATATCTAAATACACTGATTTTTATTGTTTTTCCTCTTCGATTTATTAGTTTAATTAAACAAACTGCCAGCGGATGTTTCGGAATTTCTTGGATTTAAATTTGTCTGGTATGCGCGTTGTCTCTCTTTTCCGTGATATGCACAATGCCACTGATACGTCTGCTCCGTAAGTGATTGGAAGTAAAAAGAACTACTGTCCGCTTACTGCGCTGCTCAATGCCCCCCAAGTAGATATCACAAGAGAAGAGAGATGTCAGTTTTGACATTTCGTCGTTCTCGCACCTCTCTTGCCTCTCATACATTATGCGTTATTGCCAGATTAATGCCATTTTACCTCTGTAAACTCCCAACTACATTTCACATTTTACCTCTGTAAGCTCCCAACTACATTTCACATTTTAACTCCCGCAAACTGTCCTCTACGTCAGGTTGTGCATAAAAAATCACACCAAGCATATTTCTACGACTAACTAAGGTTGGAAGGTTTATTAAAAGCAATCTACGAGGATAAGATGGCAGTCTCACACCTGCATCCCAGTTAAGACCACGCAGAGCAAAAAGTAAAAAGTTTTTCTGGACTGATTCTATACGGTCCTGGTGTACTTTGTACTGGGGGCACCATACACAAGAGCCGTACTCTAAAATCGGACGAACAAGCGAGATGTAGAGAGTCTTCGTTATATAGGGGTCGTCAAATTCCTTTGACCACCTTCTTATAAACCCAAGCACACCCATGGCCTTATTTACCATGGTAGAAATGTGTTCAGAAAACTTCAACTTTGGGTCTAATTTAACACCAAGATCATCAACCAAGGTAATTCTCTCAAGAGAACCACCGCCGAGGCTATAAGGAGCCAAAAGGGGGCTGGATCGATGAAATGTCATTACTTTGCATTTCGAGGCATTTAGGTGTAACATATTTGCACAACACCATGACTGAAAGTTATTGAGATCGGATTGCAAGCGAGAGTGAAATGAAATGTCCTTATACTGGACACAAAGTTTAACATCATCCGCATACATGAGTACTCAAGAGTCTGTTAATACTGAAGGCAGATCATTAATAAAGAGTGTGAATAGTAGGGGGCCTAGATGGCTGCCCTGTGGTACTCCAGAAGTAACCTTAACAGGTGAAGAGAAGGAGTTTTTGAAGAGGACTCTTTGAGACCTAGAACGAAGGTAGCTAGAAATCCATCTCAAAAGATTAGGCGGAAACCCTAAAAGGTCAAGTTTTTGTGCTAAAAGGGAATGGTTTACAGAATCGAATGCTTTACTAAAATTAGTGTAAATGACATCCGTCTGCAAGTTACCTTGAAAGCCTTTAATGATAAAAGAGGTAAACTCTAATAAATTTGTGGTTGTTGATCGTCGCCTTATAAATTTTATTTATTTATTTATTCGCCAACGGATAAACCTTATCTGGCTAAACTAACTTATTTCTATATTAAAAAATAAACAAACAAAATAAGGAACTTACAATTAAATAAGAAAAACTCAGAAAGCAACCGTCTGACGGCTCCTTTCCCAAGGCAAAAATCGAATCGCATCCCAGCAGGTCAGGGCATTCGATGTTACCCACTAATATATCGTATATAAATAACTGAGCCACAATGGTCCTTCGATCCTCGAGAGATGAGAGATGCACGAGGCAACATCTGCACTCATAGGACGGCAACGAAACGGAAAGTTGCAAAGGCTGGAGTGCAAACTTCAAAAACTTCCTTTGCAATCTCTCGATACGCGCAATTTGAACGACCCCAGTGGGGTTCCAAACCACCGAAGCATACTCAAGGCGCGAGCGCACAAGAAAAGAATAAAGACTTAGCCTCGTATATGGGTCCCTAAACTGGGATGAATTACGCGGAACAAAGCCGAACATAGCATAGGCTTTTGGCAAAATGAAGTTTAAATGCTCGATAAAAAGAAATTTTGAATCGAACAAGACCCCTAGGTCAAGTGTCTCTGTATGCTTCAAGAGCGGAAGGCCATCTAGCGAATATGAGGCCTGAACATTGAATACACACTTGCTAAAGGACACAAAGTAACACAAAGTAACAACCCCTAGGAGAACTACCATATTGCCGCGATGAGGGGGCTTAGTAAGCGTAAGGAACCCAAGAGCTTTACCGGCGGTAGCGTAATGCTGCCAGAAGGGCCACCCAAGCCGGGCAGGTCATGGGGGAGCGCCGAAGCTAAAAGTAGTTCACCCTGGCGGTAGGGATGAAACGCATCCGTTATGGGGGAATGTCCGATAACGAAAAAACAGTTAAGGTGCAGGGAGTCGGAGACCCAGTACCGGCGGTGATTGGGGGTGCGAGCGCAGGCCCCCCGGCGTCGATATCCTGTGACTGCAGGAAACCCGAGATGGCAGTGGAGTGCTTGGCTGCCAAATCGCGTAATGCCACAAGCAACAGAAGGATCCGCAAACAGAAAGGGACGATAGAGGATCTGGAACCGGGAACCACAGACGGAAGCTTCGTCTTCACTGGTCCCTCAGTGTCGGAGGCAGAGTTGGCTACTGCCTTCTCTCGACTCGGATACAACGAGGAGCCGCAGAAGGCGGAGCCACAAGTCACGGCTCCCAACATCCAGGTCGACTCGGGATCCACTACCTGTAACGGATGAGAAGACGGAGGCTGAGACCCTACGCAAACGGCTGTCGGGATACAGGCATCGGCAAAATACCTCCGTGGTATTAGCCAAAGACCCCCCGATACGCTGACGGCGAGGGAAAGGAGCCTCAAGAAGAAGCACGAGCAAAACGTGCGGAGGTACGAGCGGCTTAACGGAGTCGCTCCTACCAACGGAGACAAAGCCCCCCCAAGCGCACACGCGGCGGTGATTGGGGACCCCAAACCGTCGACTTCAGCGTCAGCATCAGCTGGCACGAAGACGAAGGTGGACCAACCCTCAAAGTCATCGTCTGCGAACGCGCGAGGGAGAAAGGGGAAAAAGTTGTCCGGGAAGCAGAGGGGGAAGACCACACCTCTGACGCAGAACACGGCGAGTGCCAAGGCACCACCAACGCCCTCTGTACAGAAGGCACGGTGGAACCGACTGGTCGAGAGCCAAGGTTCAAGCGACAGAGAACGGACGACTCCACAAAAGCTTCCGAGTCAAAGAAGGCGAAACCAGATGACATTCTGGCCAGCCTAGGATCGCTGGCCGAGCTGCAGGTAGCCATCATCGACCAAAGTCACCCAGAGGGGAAGATATCGGACGTCAATTGGCTGAAGGCAGAATCGGAGATCCTGACCGCCATGAAGGATGCCATTGTGCGCGCAGATAACCCGTTTGTCTGCGAGTTCAAGGGTATCAAGTGGAATAAGGGAGCCAAAGCAGTGGCCTGTGGCAATGCAGAAGCTCTTGAGTTTCTCAAAACCACGGTCCAAGGTTTTGGTGAACTTTGGCCAGGAGCGGCACTCCGCGTGGTCCCGACGGATCAGATTCCCAGGAGAACGATCATGAAGGTATGGATTCCTCCCCCGATTAAGGCGGATGAGGACACACTCGTTCTGATCAAGGCACAAACTCCTTGCAACGGACTGCCGCATATCCTTTGGTATGGGCACCCTGGCGGTAGCAGTACCGCGACACCCCAGGTCCGCTGAATAGCATGAAGGTGGTGCAGATTAATCTGCATCACTCAAGTGTACCATCGGCGGACCTGCTGCGGCTTATGGAGGAGAAGGCGGTGGACGTGGCCCTCATCCAAGAGCCCTGGATCGTAAGTGAAAGGGTTCGGGGACTGAACGGTCGCGGATACCGCCTTCTCACGCCACACCCCGCGGGTAAGCCAAGAACCTGTATCGTGGTAAGGAACGAGCTTAA